AGAAAAAAACTATGTGAAATTGGGAGAGAAAAAAAACAATATGTGAAATTGGGAGAGAGAAAAAAAAAACAATATGTGAAATTGGGAGAGAGAAAAAAATATGTGAAATTAGGAGAGAAAAAAAACAATATGTGAAATTGGGAGAGAGAAAAAACATGTGAAATTGGGAGATAGAAAAAAAATATGTGAAATTGGGAGAGAGAAAAAAACATGTGAAATTGGGAGATAGAAAAAAAATATGTGAAATTGGGAGAGAAAAAAAAATATGTGAAATTGGGAGAGAGAGAAAAACAATATGTGAAATTGGGAGAGATAAAAACAATATGTGAAATTGGGAGAGAGAAAAAAAAATATGTGAAATTGGGAGAGACAAAAAAAACATGTGAAATTGGGAGAGAGAAAAAAACATGTGAAATTGGGAGATAGAAAAAAAATATGTGAAATTGGGAGAGAAAAAAAAATATGTGAAATTGGAGAGAGAGAAAAACAATATGTGAAATTGGGAGAGATAAAAACAATATGTGAAATTGGGAGAGAGAAAAAAAAATATGTGAAATTGGGAGAGACAAAAAAAACATGTGAAATTGGGAGAGAGGAAAAAAACAATATGTGAAATTGGGAGAGAAAAAAAACAATATGTGAAATTGGGAGAGAGAAAAAAAACAATATGTGAAATTGGGAGAGAGAAAAAAAATATGTGAAATTGGGAGAGAGAAAAAAAACCAATATGTGAAATTGGGAGAGAGAAAAAAACAATATGTGAAATTGGGGAGAAAAAAAAAACAATGTGAAATTGGGAGAGAAAAAAAACAATATGTGAAATTGGGAGAGAGAAAAAAACAATATGTGAAATTGGGAGAGAGAAAAAAAAACAATATGTGAAATTGGGAGAGAGAAAAAAACAATATGTGAAATTGGGAGAGAAAAAAAAACAATGTGAAATTGGGAGAGAAAAAAAACAATATGTGAAATTGGGAGAGAAAAAAAAACAATATGTGAAATTGGGAGAGAGAAAAAAACAATATGTGAAATTGGGGGAGAGAAAAAAAAAACATGTGAAATTGGGAGAGAGAAAAAAAAAATATGTGAAATTGGGAGAGAGAAAAAAAAACAAATGAACGCCTTTCATAAAAGAAAAGCAAAAAAAAAAGATCGCAATACTGTTGCTGGAACAGTTCACCGCACTTAGGAGAGAAACCTTTGGACCACGTTTCGGTCTGTTCTGGGCTATTATGCAGAAAGCTTGCAATACACAGGAACTACTCCGTGTGAGATAAGATTAAGTTGCTACAAGGCTGTGTGGCAACACTGGTGAAGGAAACACTACAGGGTGTGTGTACTTGGGTAGCGCTGAGGGGGAAAGTGTAGCCACAGATGAGAGCAGCAAGAAGACGGAATAAACTGTACAACTCTTCCAGTGATGAGTTTATCGAGTTTTATTATGCAGTTTTATCTCCCATTTTCCTCCCACCCAATACCCTAAGAGATAAATAAAAGAACATGAAATCGCGAAAGGAAAATTTACAGATAATCACGGACAGGTAAGAACACTCGCCTGGACCAGGAAGAGCTGGTAGCACATGGTGATGACCGCGAGTGCCAGCATTAATAGCAACAACGTCCGGGTGAGGCTCATAGCTGGCTTCCACCTCGTTGACTCGTTGATCAAGCGTCTCTCACAGCGATGCTCAGGTGACATTAAGTTCTGCAACACGGTGAGAAACTTTTCTTAGCCGAGTAATACAGAGTAATTTCGAACGTTTGTGTAGATGACTCGGGAGTTATATAACAACAATTGAGTATTAACAAAAAATACTGCATTTGCCTCTGCAACAATTACTACTAATATTACTGCTACTACTCCTACTACTA